AATTAAATGGCCAGTCCATTCTGCCTTTTATCAATTTGCTATATACCATAGTCACCATCATCTAATGTTATCGCTGAGTGTTTATCTTTATATCCGACTGATTGGTGCTACAGCTTACAACTTCAATTAATTTAAGAGTAAAACTTGGGCACTGTGGTCGATTGTGATTCCATTTTAGTCTGTTTATTAGAAATATCACACAGTCAAACAGTAGCATCTACTGGATAACGTTTCGGACACAATTTATTGTCCATATTCATATCTATTTATATTCATACCTGATATGAATATGGACAATTAATTGTGTCCGAAACGTTATCCAGTAAATGCAACTGTTTCACTGTGTGGTGTTTATAATAAACAGACTAAAATGGACTTATAACTTCCAGATGAATAGAATAAATCTATTTCCAATGGACTTTTTAGGGATTGCGCACAATTTTACAGTCTTGAAAATGAATGCTGACAAGGTAAACCATAAATTAATTACTTCTTTTCTACAAAAGTCAGTTGCCATAATCAGTCTGAATTGAAACAATATATAATAAATAAATAAATAAACAATAATAATTATGTGTGCCCATTTCATAATCTGTCTACTTTTTAAAATATGATGAGTAAACTGGGCAAAATAAGTATGCTCAATATGTGATGGAACTTATGACATGAGATTTTGCATAGATATTAAGTAAAATGTAATTATCTATGAAATTCACAGCTTCAATGGACAACTACTTATATTGCAGAAGTCAGTCACACGTTTCTGTGTTATGTTTTCCATATTGAGACACATACATACATATGTCTACATTTATACATGCACATATGCATATAAGATTAGCAGGTTCAAGTAGTCTGTTTATTACAATGTACCCACGTTTTACTCCTTATTAAGGTTCAATGTATACTGAGAAAATCATACAAAAATGACAAGCTTGAGGATTGCAATAAGCGTCATGACTAACATTATTTTACCTGCTGTATATTACGCAACAACTGCCTTATTTAATATCAAATAAGTGATTTGTATTCAGATTACATGAACTATTTTTTTTGGTTGCCAAGGCTGTTTTCTTCCGTTAAGTGATGTCTGATGAATAACTGATCGATAATCTGATCGATACGTAGTTAATAAAATAACGTCATGGCTAGTTTTGCTGACAACATTCGAAATAAGTGCTAAATAGTTTTACAGTCACATATTTAGACTAAATAAGGACAACTGTTAAATTCTCTCACTGTAATCATGAGAATAACTAGTAGACACTGAGCAGTGATTGAAGGTGAGATGAAAATCTGGGCTGCGGCAGGATTCGAACCAGCCACCATCGGGTTACGTTCCCAATACTCTACCAACAGAGCTACGAGATTCTAGCAGACAAGTTGCGAGTAACTTATTCTCGCATACATCTAAGTGATGTTTGTGAGGTTTCAAACTATAAGCGGTGGTTTCTATGTTATCTACAGCAAAAAAATACACTGTAAGTGATAATTGTCTATTCTCCAAGTTTTGAAGTTCTTTCCTGGAGTTTTCATCACCAACCTAAATGAATTAATCAGCATTTACTTCAGAACGAAAGTAGTGAAATCAGCTGCCAAACTGAAAGGTTTGAAGCACATTGGTTAAAATAAGCTTACCGTTTCGGTTTTGAGACAGAAATGGCTAGCTGACAGAAACTAGTATACTTCAGTTAAACTGGTTACTTAAATGATTTATGGTCGTCTTCTTCACATCCATCACTAATCAAGTGACGAACGATTACACTGCTGAGATAGACTTTTGTGGAAGTTGTCAGCAGCGCAGGCTGACCACTAATGACCATGTAATTGCTGACTTGGAGAGTGATCTGATCAACATGCCTTACTTAACTTTGCGGTCAAATTGTGAAGCTTTCATCGCCTTGCTAGACGAGGCGATGAAAGCTTCACGATTAAACAACCCAGTTCAGAGAACACAATACAACCAAGACCATCCACCTGAGCTACAAATATTCTCCATTATTTGTGGTGAAAAGATCTGCTAAAAAGAATGATGAAAGGAGCCAAAGTAGAACCTGTATCACACAGCAGTAATTCAGCTGAAGATTCCTGAGTTATCATCCCAGTGTGATATGTACTGAACCACTGATGAAACTAGTCAGGTGTTCACACAGCTGATATTTAAAAATGATTTGACCACAGAGTCTATTGAATAAAGAGGGAAAAATTCAACTATTAGACTCCAAAGCATCCTATGAATATTAATTTTGACATAGTAAAGCAAGATGTTACTTCTTGTTTACCCGTGAGTAATGGCGTGTATATTGCTTAGGAACTCTAATTAACCAGCCAGTCAGATACTCCTAGTGTCCTGTAGATTATATGAATCCATTCAACCCATTCTTCTAAAATCATGGAGATGTTATTCGCTTAACTTCATTAGATATTATGATAACCGATCTAGGGGAAATTCAAATTTTCGTTTCACCTTCAACTATCACCCAGTATCAATACTAGTCTACTAAATCACGACTATCTCAGACAAAATGATAATTATGACGATCGTCAAAGTATTCAATTCATCTATGGTACCATCACTTGCACCTCATTTAAAAAACTGTTGATTATTTATCCCAAAATTTGATTTGTCTGGTCATCTTCATTGTCATGAAAAGCCGCAGCAGATTTACCATGTTCATTTGTTTCTAAAATTATGTCAAATATCAACTATGATTAATGGCTCAGTCTGTATTAATCTCTGTACAAAGCTGTGTACCAAGCCAGCTAACTTCATGGTCTGCATACTGTGGTATTTATTTTTAAGAATTAGAACAGTAACACTTTCAACGTACCGTCAAAATATTTTTAACCAACCATAAACCGTGTTTGGCAGTATCGTGCAACTCTGCGTTTCAGACTAATAAGAGTTATGGACGATACACACATCTGTATGGCGAAAGTGAATGTGTGAAAACTATAGCACAACCATTAATCACGAGGGTCTGACAGTATTTACCTTGCTGACCTGTTGACGCAGTCTATTTAAGGACAAAATGATAACAGAAGCATTTAACTAACCTTTAGGCAGTTAGCCGGGTATCATTGACTTTTCCTCCACACCACCAATGATGAGAACTAGTGGTATTCTTCAGTCACAGGGCGGGGGGAAAGAAAGGGTATTTACTAACTTGAAATGACTGAAACGTGATTGCTATTTGAATTTCCGAATAAGGGATGTAGATAACCAGATGAGTTTTCTGATGAACATCGACTATAGGCTATATGACAACGACTGAAACACGACACATCACAACTATTGTAAGTCATAAAATAGTTCTCCGAATTGCAAACATCTAACTGGTGTAAGATGGTGAAAGATAGTCGGCAGGAAGCCATGGATATGATTCTCATGTTTATTGACACCCATCAGCAAGACGTATCTGCAAACATGCGGAAACTCTGGCTGTCTGCCCCTTGGTGCTCAGCACTGGCCGACAGATTTCAATCGATACTCAGCACCAATAACTAGACACCTTCATTGGTTACCCACTGGTGACTAATTCGTGCAAACACCTAACTTTCTCATACCGGATCACTGTATGAGTAGCGAACCAAATATAACTTTTGCTTTTTAAAATAAGTGATCTTATATTATTACATGTGTCACTTACCCTTCATGACTTAGCAAATGTAAGTTGATATCTAGTCAAATTATGAGCAGCTCACTTATTTACATCTTACAGACTTTATTTGTACAAAAGCGTTACTACAAGGTTCATGAATCCGGTCGGTATTAAAGTACAGAATCTGACTTCACATAAGTTAGATCACTTCATGAGACCTTCGTTTGTTGTATGATCACATAGTGGTCAACTGTGGTCCAGTAGTAGATGTATCAAAAGTAACCTTTATTCCTTGTGAAAATGTTATGAAAATTCCGAAGTTAAATCTAATACTTAGGAAATGACGGATAGTTTACAACCAAATGTATTTACATTAGTAATTTCACCTTAATTTTCATCATTTCACAACTAGGAAGATGTGCTTAATTTAATCATCTATTTGGGTCAAGGCTTTTAAAATACTAGTGTGTCAGCAAAGTATAAGGCAATCATATTTTGTCTACAAACTAATTACAGTTAGATGTCATAAGCCTTTGTTAGATAATATAGATTTGTTTCATTTAGCTAATATTTTAGTTGTGACAGGCAAGTTATTGGTTGGGAAAAGTGCTAAAATATGGGAATAGTATAAAATGTGACTGAATTGTTCATAAGAGTAATCTGTGGCGCTAAGTTCCTTCATAGTCATTCCTGATGTGACTTGACAGTTTTTCAACCAACGGGTCTAAACTGTTGAAAAACTCAGCAATATACCAAGTATCTGTAGTTACTCTTCTTCATACACAGGATTAATTATATAGAGATCAAAAACAGCTAACCACTTAAAACAGGTTTGATACACTACTACCATCTATGCATAAATTATCGATGTTGTTCGATAACTGCTTTCCTATTTTCTACGTAGTTCGCACAAATTATGTTTTAGCTGGACTTCACACTTGAAATATTTTTTCTCCAACCTATGTTTTGCATCCAAACAGAAATTATTCGTGAGCTGAGAGAGGTAAAAACAGAGATAGTCCGTCAGGAAGAATAAGAAACATGCTGTAGAATCGTAATTAGCTAAAACTTTCTCCAAACATTTAACTAACTATATTGTGCTCATCAATAGCCTAGGCACTTAACTTCTAACCATGGATACGGTTCAAACTTCTCCCCACTTACCAAGGTCTGGACAGTTGAGTAGTATTATTGGCCTTAAAATAGTAGGTATAGATCATTGTCTACTGCTAGAAGGTATACGTTATTGTTGAGTGCATGTTATTCATTTCATGTTGTATGCAAAAGAGATTCGCGCATCGACTGTTACATACGAGGTCTCATGTATCGAAGGTAATAGTGACTATCAACCATGTCACACTTCACGTCTCTATCATCAGCGTTGTAAAAAGTAGGAGTATTTAAAAACTGTATTGTGATAAGTATGAAAATCACTATATGTCAAACAGAAAACTCAGAAATATAAAAATAACGAAAAATAACAAAAACAGTCGTGATATTGGAGTACTGAGACATGGACTGACGAACAGGAACTATAAATTTGCTCAGGACTACTTGAAAATGATGAAAGTGGGAAAGAATAAGCTAGTCAAACTAAATACTCATCAATAATCTGACCAATACGTTCTTCTAAGTTTTCTGCGTTGATAACCTTATTAGTTGCTCTTTCAATCTCAATGCATAAGTCATGAATTTTGCTGTGCAATTTCCTTCTGTTCTTTTTTGGTTTGGTGTTTGCGGTACGTGTGCGACGATTGGCAAACCAGGAGCATACCTAAAATTAACATAAGCTGATGAGAATTAACTTGCAAATAATTTAAGACTGATTAGTCTGTCTAGCTATTGATCATCGTCATCAGAATCAGCATGGGACCGGGCATTACTGCGTCACGGTTCGAGTTGCCACAGCTCATAGCAGTACATCAAGTAAAAAGGCAGTGAAGCGACAGATAAAGATAAGAAAATTTAGTCCAAAGAGATATAAAGTACTAAAAGAGAGAAAGGAAGAATGAGAAAATGGTGAGATTCGGTATAGCGTTAAGATGAGGATAATATGTGTATACTGAACAATCAGTTTTTCAAGCTAAACCCAACAGAATGCAATCCAATATTCGCCTAATTCCTTCATTATTATCCACAAATGCTGTCTGCTAAGTTAGTTGATCTATTTTATTCCTAAATTAACACATCAGTCGGAAACCATGTTCAACTACAAAGATACCTGTAGCTTAGGTTGCAATGTTTGCTGGACTAAGAAGAGGAAGAATATTGCAGGACACTGTGATATCATAAGTGTGCAGCGAGACAGCTAAACAGAAAACTGGTCAATATATGCTTATTTTAAGGGACAGATGCTACAGATTACGCACATAACTCTTGCTACTGTCTGTTATTGTTATGGAGATTTGTAGTATTTTTATATTGCAAACTACGACTGCACAAAAAATGTTTTCAGGAATAATGGAAGAACTATCCTTCGCAAATTTTACATCGCGTTACACCCGGCTATGGAACAAGTGTTTAGTATTTGATAGCTTTTGTTTTCAAGTTACGGAATGTTCTCTTATTCCGTATTTTTAATCTTTATTTTACCCCCTTTACATGTTCTTACGCATGCTGAAGAAATACTGTAAGATACAACTGATGACGTGTTTAACAGCGTGGTATCTAATATCACTTACAACACTCTTTAGAACTTAAGACCCACTTTTCTCCTGATTCTACTGTTGCCATGCAAGTATGTTGACCAAGTGCACGATCCGTTAGATGCCTAATGAGTACACTACTCATTAATCATCTTACCACATTCTTTAATAGAGTACCATGCCAACATGCATTCTTCGTTTATTCAAGTAATATGTATTTCATCACGACAGATCCGACACTGTGCTGCATCGTTGTATGCACACTGAAGGAGACGGTCGTCAAATGAAATATCTAAGATGAAAATTAATCCCACAAGGTAGGATTTTGAACTTGATAAATAAACTTTATAATTGTGCAGTTGGAAAGCATAACATACCTGCATTACTGTAATACCCCCGAGAGCAGCTATTTGTTCTTTTTCAGATGCTGTTGGATATGGGTTATCTGTATGACTCTCATACCAGGATTCCATCACACTTACAGCATCTTCTCCAAGTGGTTTGTTTCTTGTTGAACTAGAAGCATCCCAAGCGATCTTCGGCTTCAGGCGAGGAGTACATCTGGACGATTTACTTGTTTTCCTAGTCCACGATCTACTTGGATTTTTTCCGTTGCTAATACAGCTTTACCACTAACAGACCCATCTAAAGAACCATCTTTCCGCTCGGAGTGAAGGCTTGAAAAGTCGAAATAGGTCGAAGGAGTATTTGCATGAGTACAGAATCCACCTTGGGTTACATTTGTGTTATCAGTTTGGTGACTTCTAGGGTTATAATCGGAATAAGATGCATTTTCCCTGGCAAGTCCTTGGTCTGATGAAAACTGAATTTGCAAATGCCACGGAACGACAGCAGAGTGGTAATTATGTTCATCTCCTTTCGTTTTAGCGTGATCTTCTGTTGATTGTGGTTGAAGAGAAACTCCAGTTGTGGAATTGATTAAAAAGAACTTGGAAATATTACTTGTCAGTATAGATGAACTGGGACAATTCCCTGACATTTGAGCAGCAGAAAGAAGTGCAGACATATTTTTTACTTTGTGAAGGTTTACCTTTGAAGGCTTTGAATTATAAGATGACACTTCATTGCTGGGCAAAATATTTGGACCGTTCATCAGATGTTCCTGAGGACTGCATTGAATACCGAAATCAGAACTATAATGGGCTGGATTAGTATAATCTATATGCATGCTCATCTTAGAATTGAGTTCTGGAGTATGGTCTAGGCGCGGCTTTATCTCATAAAACCGGTCTACCTGAGGCCAGTTCACACTAGGTTTCTGGATATAAACAAAAGAACCTTTTGAGGATTTACAATCACCTTCAGAAGAATCTTCTTGAGTTGATGTACTGTTATCCCCAACTGATTGCTGAAAATTAACACAATCAAGTGCTTCAGTACCATATGTTTGACTGTGTGTATTCACTAAGTTGTAGGCAACTTCAGGAAGATTGGAAAAGAATGCCATTTTGGATTTTTCCTCACGATCATGATGATAATTGTAATGACACGTGTGTGATGGTAAAAGAGGGGAGAATGAACAGCAGGAACCATTCTCATTTTTCACATAATTATGAACTTCGGTTTGTAAACTATCATTATTGTGGTTACTATCTTCACTTGAAGTTATTGAAAGGTCATTACATTGATCACTAACTTTACCTGTCCATAAAACATCATGGTTACTTTTAAAACACCCTTGATTAGTATTCCTATTTTCTGTGTCGGGAGTTGACATAATGTTTGACTGACAACACAGATTTGATGCGAATGTGCTGAAATCTTTTGGTGCGTAATTATGACCGATAGCAGCAGCTAACACGTTAGAGAAAGAGTTGTTATCATTTTGATTTAGTTTAGATCCCTCAGAATTTGTTGCATGTGCACACTGTAAATTTTGACAAGCGCGATTTGATAGATTTTCGGACGACTGAAGTGTGTTTATGCAAAACTGAGCCTCTGTTTTATCGAAATTACAATATGTCCTGTGTGTTGTTGAGTGCGCTTCATCTGTTGAGATGCAACTGTGATTGCTGTAACAGGAACAGAAGTAGATTATGACATATTTCAACAGAAAAGGATGATGTGATCGAAAGCATACAATCAAACTGCTTAAAGTGCCCACCGATATATAGTTGGGTGTAAATTCTAGATCATAATGATCCATTCGTCCAATCTATACTGAGTACGTCAAAAATATATAGTCCTTTATGAAGACTAAATCTTATGATTACTGAAAGTAATCAACGCAAGAACAACGTCACAGTATATCTTTTTCTGTTTTAAGTAACTGTGATGTGAACTTAACATTGTTCAGTTATGTCTAAATTTTAAACTGTTTGATGCAAACGACGATGTAATTAAACTTATTCATTTCAACTTTCCTTTTCAATAGGCATTACTACTGAGAAGAATGACAAGATTAAGAAAGGAAGGCTTCTACAACTGGAGAAATATCTATCTCACCGGGGTGGTGCAGCAACGATGAGTCTCCAAATCACCGACCAGAAGAGAATAGATTGACAAAATCACAAGTCCTCTCATATCTACAACTAATTAGACCTAAAACCTGATAATGTTAAAGTTTTAAGCAGTTTAGGAATGTTGTGATCCAAAGTTTTGTAAAGGCTGTAAGTGACAAATTTGAGTGGAAATAGGCAGTGTTCTTATTTCATTTATAAAAGGCAGGAATTGTTTGTACACTGGTCAGAAACGAATAGAAATTGATTACTTAGCTGGTCCACTAAATTACATCAAGCTTGGTTCTTATTAAACAAGTTTCATCTTATTGAACAACACTGAAGTTGATACTGGGTGGTGATTGAATGTGAGGCGAAATTTGAACAGCTGCCGGATTCGAACCAGCGGCCACCCGGCTTTCCGGTGCTCTACCAACTGAACATCTGGCCAGAAACCAGGGGGCCGCTGGTTCGAATCCGGCAGCTGTTCAAATTTTTGCTTCACATTCAATCATCATCCAGTATCAATACTAGTCTTCCAAACCACGGCTATTTGAGATAGTCAAAAGGATAAACATAAAAGCTGTATACCAAGTGGAATAACAATAATCTTAATATTTAAAAATAGCTTGAATAAGATAGACTCACCAGTATGAATTGTATCCACTTTCACTTGCTGCTGATGCTGAACTGATAAGTTTATTTGGCCTACTATCGCAAAGGCCAGGATATTGTTCCACTGTTATTGGCGTATCAACTCTACTGTCATAATCTGTGACCTGGGAGCTGGAACTAGCCTCAAGCTCATTTGACCGTGAATCCGACATTTGAGAGGTGACTACACTAACTAAGTCCATTTTTCCGAGTAATTCCTAAATAGCTGTAGTGCGACATGATTTTAAATGATGGAAGCTGCGTTTTTATTGGTCAACTTGCAAATCCAGAGGTCGACCATCTCAACTGGGGAGGGGGGACAATTTTATATGGGCACATATCTAATCCACAACATTTATCGATTAGATGACCTATCAGAATATTCCCCGAAAAAAAACCAATCCATGCTTTTCAATTTAAAAGTTTGAAACTATCATGCTGGTCAAAGACAAATATGGAATTTCGCTGTTGCACAGTAATAATAGTTGGAAGTTAAATCGTTTTAACAGAACCTAGTAAATTTACTAAACGTCACATTTAATGAAATGGAATGTGGTTATCAGTTAGACTGTCTGCGATAACAGTAGTTTAACAGACTTGTAATGATACTGAGTGCTGACTAAAGATGGAATGAAAATATGGGGCACGATAATATTCATACACATAAGTGAAAATCGTAGCTTTTCGAAGCAGCAAACTCTCATCATATACTGATGTAGATCAATCCAAAATTACAAGGCAAATAACCCCTTGTAAAAATGTTTGCTAGGAGGCTTATCTTCTGCAGAGTGAAAGGTGACCTTTTTCTCCTCCATTTAATTTGTTTCTGTTGCTACATCAACGTAAATCTGATAACCTGTTACTCTCTATATTGTTCATATCAAAAACCAGAAACCTTTTGGACTGATATCAAGTTTTATTCTGACCACCGTCAGCCTTCTTCCTACTCAACCTTACTTCAGTTAATATCACGTATCGTTATGGGGAGTAAATAGGCTTGTATAATATCTGCTCTAGCAATTCCAGTTAATGGATATCCAAGACCTCATCACAGAATTTACTCCTTCACCAAAGAGTTTATGCCTAACCAGTGGATTGTACACGCCGCTGGTTCACAACATGCAGATTATTATTATTATTATTAGTCCCTTGGGTTCCTAGTGGAACATAGGGCTTCAGTAGCACGCCTCCAGTGACCTCTGTTCTCTGAGATCTTTTGAACCTGGTCCCACGACAGCCCACAACCTCTCATTTCCTCCTCGCACGACCTCCTCCATGTCACCCTCGGATGTCCAACTCGTCGCTTCACATGGGGATTCCACTCGAGCAACTGGCCTGACGCGTGATGTCCCCAGTCGGCCTTCTCAGTGCATGGCCAATCCATCTCCACTTCTTCCTGCATATTTGTTGCGTGATAGGTTCTTGGTTGGTTCGTTCCCAGAGCTCTTTGTTGCTTATTCTTTCTGGCAATCCATCTGATCTTCAGTAGCGAGCCAGCGTAAGCAGTTGTTGATGAATGTCTGTAGTTTATTGGAAATGCCTTTCGTGACGTGCCAAGTCTCTGAACCATACAGGAGCACTGATTTGACGTTGGTGTTGAAAATCCGTATCTTGTTCCGCATGCTGAGTGCAGAAGATCTCCACACTGATTTCAGGCTAATGAACACCTGTCTTGCTTTTCCGATTCTCACTTTGACGTCTTCGTCCGTCCCGCCTGTAGTTGAAACAGTGCTTCCTAGATAAGTGAAGGAGGTTACTTCCTTTAAGTTTCTCCCGTTGATGGTGACTGGAGTTTGTTGTTGTTGTTGATGGTGGTGGTGCGGTATCTTCATCACTTCTGTCTTCTCTATATTCACCTGAAGTCCCGTCTTAGCTGCCTCTTCTATCAACTTGTTAGTTTTTGCCTGCAGATCTTCAAGTTTATGTGACATCAGGCACAAGTCATCGGCGAAATCCAAGTCTTCTAGGTTCTTTTCCGTCGTCCAGTGTATCCCCCTCTTCTCGCTGCCTACTGTTCGCTGCATGATCCAGTCCACCACAATCAGGAATATCATGGGGGATAGTAGGCAACCTTGTTTCACTCCTGTCTTCACTTCAAAATCATCACTGAGCTTCCCATTGTGAAGTACTTGGCCGGCATGTGGCATCTTCATATAGTTGTTGAATGAGGCGGATAAAGGTTTGCGGTACTCCGTAGTATTGAAGCAGTTTCCAAATTACTTGTCGGTCGACGCTGTCAAAGGCCTTCTCAAAGTCGATGAAGTTGAGGTAGAGAGTTGACTGGACTGCCATTCTATGCTCTGCTCTATGATGATGCAAAGGGTTGCAATTTGGTCTGCACATGATTTGTACTTCCTGAAGCCTGCCTGTTCCGGTCGTAGTTTTGAATCCAGTGCATCTTTAAGCCTCTCCAGGATGATGCGGCTTAATATTTTACTTGCACTGGGTGGACAGGAGAGTGATTCCACGCCAGTTCTTGCAAGCACTGAGGTCTCCCTCCCATCTTCGGCAGTTTGACAAGGTAACCCTTCTTCCAATCAACTGTCAGGTACCTTCTCTTCCTTCCACACCTTCTGCAATAGTGGTGTGAGCATGTCCGCTGTTGTCTCTGCATCTGTTCTCAGTGCTTCTGGCGGTATTCCATCTGGTCCTGCTGCTTTCCCGCATTTCAGTAGCTTTATGGCGTTCAGGACTTCCATTTTCGTTGGGGGATTTATGTTCACTTGTAATTCAGCGGCTGCAGGTGGTATTTCTGGACGAAGTGCAGGTGGTGGTGGTCGTTGATTCAAGAGCTTCTTGAAGTGGTCGGCCCATCGTTTCCTCTGTTTCTCTTCTTTTGTAATTAAATTTCCTTCTTTGTCTTTTATTGGTTTCATCTGTGTTGGTCTCTTCCCTGATAGCAACCTGGTTATTTGATACAATGTCGTCAGGTCTCTCTTACCTGCAGCCTGTTCTGCTTCACTTGCCAGTGTTTCGTAGAAGTGTCTTTTGTCTTTGCGTGCACTCTTCTTCACTTCTTTGTCCAGTGTTTTATACATTGTGCTCAGTTCCTCTTGTCGTTGAGCATCCTTGCACTGGTTTATCTTCTGCTTCACCATCCTCCTCTCCTCTATCAGCTTCCAGGTATCCGTCGAGATCCATTCCTTATCTTCTTTCTTCTTCCTTCCTAATACGGTTGTGCAGGTTTCTTTCCACATAGCTTTCAAAGACTTCCAGTGTTCTTCCACACAGGTTTCTTCAGGGATGTTGCTCGATGTCTCCCATTTTGTCTTGATGGCTGCCGTGAAGATCTCCTTTGTAGTTTCATCCTTCAGTTTCCGAGTGTTGTACTTGAATTGAGGTCTATCACCAGCTTCCTTAAAGGCTTTCAACTGGATTTTGAAGGTAGGTTCCTTGCACTAGATAGTGGTCTGAACCTACATCTGCTCCTCTTCTTGACCTTGTATCAAGTAGACTGCGTCTCCATTTTCTTGAGATTGAGATAAAGTCGATTTGATTTTTAGTGTGTCCATCTGGTGAAATCCATGTCGCTTTGTGGATATCTTTGTGCTTGAACACAGTGCCTCCAATCACCAAATCGTTGAATGCGCAGAATTCTGCAAACAATTCTCCATTCTCATTCATTTCACCTAGCGCCTCTCGATCCATGGTTAGTTCTCTTCCCGTGTTGTCCCCTCCCAGTTTGGCATTCATGTCGCCCATCAGAATTTTGATATCGCCAACTGACGTCTTGTCCAGTGTTGATTGAAGTTGTCTGTAGAAATCCTCCTTTTTCTCTTGCTCTGCATTATTTGTAGGTGTTCAGCATAACATTGTATGATTGTGACCTTTCTTCCTTTTGAGTTGAATCTTGCTGTCATGATCCTAATCCTGGAGGAGATTGGTTCCCACTGCATGAGAGCCTTCGATGCTCTTGAGGACATCATGATAGCCACTCCAAAACTCAGTGTGCTCGTGGTTGTCGTCTGGGTGACAATGTAGGAGTAGATTATTGACTCTCCTCTCCAGTTGAAGTTTGGAGAGTCCACTCCCATTCCATCTGCTTTCGCAAATCCCAAGCACTTCGATGTGATACCTTCTAATCTCGTTTGCAATCTGGGCTGCCTTGCTGGGTTCAAACATCGTGCGGACATTCCATGTCCCCATGTTTACTTTCGCTTTCATCGAGAGAGAGAAGACACATCGGATAATTGGCTTCCCGAAAGCTTTCACCAACTGGCGTCATTTGGCCTCTCCGATTCCAGCGGGGAATAAGTTTGTTTTCATTTTTTATATTTTGTTTGTGCTTTGAAGTTTCTTTAGCGGTTAGATTTGTTTTACGGGGTAGGGTTGCTAGCCCTATGCCCAACCTTCCCTCTTTACCCGGGCTTAGGACTGGCTAGTAACTAGTAAACTAGTTAACCAGGCGAGGTTACAACATGCAGATACTGCTACAAAACAACGACGGTTAAACACTTAGGACTTTTTTCTGTCGTCCACTTTTGAAACAGATGCGTTTCCTAACTTTGTAGCAGACAGGACAGCATAGGAGGATCTTACCAAAAGTGTAGTAGTGTAGGTACAGAATTCCAGTTGAGACTTTTGCGTTCTGGAGCAAAGACTATGTGGTCCACCGACACACCAAGTTGGTCAAATATTCAAAATTAGTGAAATGGTCAATTCACTTAACCACTCCATTTGCTATTTTAAGATGATGTATTAGAGTACTCTCAAAATAGAAATTTTCCTTTGTCCAATGAGAAAAGCATCCCAAACATTTTCAAATTGGTACTGAGTGTGTTAAGAAGCTCTTATTTTGTTTTCATCTTATACAGTCTGCATACTCTATGTCAACTACGGAGTCTTTATGTTCTCGGGTTGTTTACATCTTTTGAAGCATACCATTTCGAAAGTATTAAATATTTGTTACCTTTGTAAACCAATCGGAATGAGAACTTCCCTAGAGCTATTCGAAAAAGGAGTTCAGATGACGAAACATGCCAAATGAGTCATAGAGAAAAGAAGAGATAATTCAGCGAAGGTTTTTCGACGATATCATTTTCTAAAACTGTACAATGGTATTTATATATGTTACAAACATATAACAGTCTATTATTAAACAATAGTGTATAGTTGCATCATTAACCTAGTGCCAAAAAAAGGGGAATCAAGAATGGAAACCAGTTGCGTAATAATCTTTTAGACAGTAGAAATCATGAGGAAGGCAAGGAGTTAGACAAGGTGAAAATTGTTGGTAGATAGCTAGTTCAAAGCCAAACACACCATATCCGAGGAAGATCTCAGTTCAGAGATCAGAATGAGTTTGCACTTTTTTTATCTTAAAAAATTAGTTCACGATTCCTCTTCAACTATGACATTAATAACATTTTCGAGACAGCCATGAAGGGGGGTACATGACGGTGTGGACCTGTTAACAGGGTTAAAGAACTTTCGACCTACTGTATTTGGATGATAATATTTTGCTGTGCGGTAACACACAGGCTACTCACATCTCACTAAATCAATCAGTAATTAGTGTCCGTAAGTATGGTTCTTGCTTTGCCCCATCAAAATTCGTAGTACTTATATAAAACTGATAGGGGCTGCCACCTGCATTTAGTCTTAGTGGCGAATCGCTGAGAGCTATCAAAAAGTTAGTGTAACTGGGTAGCGGTGCTAATACTGGTGAACGTGTGAATGATGAGGTTTCTAACTTCACATTGGAAACCAAGGTAGTGCACATCAATTCAGATCACCTCTGGTATCGTTGTGACAGTAATCTTGGTGTAAAGTGTTGAGTTTATAACTAACTGGCGCAGACAGTTTCGCTGCACGCACGTGGAACCTGGCCTCGTCAAGTTGAGGATTTCCAACGACTCTACGCTTTCGATTACTATTGCCACCATCTGTTCGCTAGCATTCAGCGAAAACATCACATAGGCAATGCTGTGGTGAAACGGTGGGCGGCTGAGATATGATGATCATTATTCAGTGAGTGTAGCCATTTTGAAACACCAGATTCGGTGGTTTGGAGATTTGTTGGACATATCTAATCGGTCCCCATACTGCTCACTATACACTTATCCTGGGACGCTTTGGAACAGGCGGGCAGATAGCCACTGCGTAACACGACACCGTAGGATGAAGGATAGTTGCGTTAAGCGGCCAGATGTAGGTGCATCACGGCTCCCTGAATGAGTTTCAGGAGGTCATGGAACTCAGCAACTTGAGACAACAATAAACATGAGTTGAAGTAAATTCACTTAGGGATCATACTTCAGATTTCTTGTTTCGTCTATAACTGAAAAATAAAAACAAAGTGTTGGATGTTTCTCTAGAAACCCATTTCTACTTTTTGCTTTTCTTTTCCTTTCTGTTTTCTGTATCTTCTCAATGTTGTTTCGTTATTTTGGTGTGGTGCATCCACCGGCGACTGCGTTGTACAAAGTTTGTGTTTTAAATAATAATCAGACTAAGTCAAATAAACATCAGCTAATCTTCACTTGTACTACTGTTTTCGTATGATTCTGATAAATAATATAATTTATTTAACAAACAGCTTTTGAATCATGTATGTTTGAAAGCAAGTGAAACTCTTTAGATGAGGTAAGAATTCTACTCAACAAGAAGAGTATGACACAAGATAAAACAAATATAAAGAATTCAGAACATCGATGCTGGCATAAAAGTGAACATGTTTGAGATATTTGAAATCATTCCTAGCCCGTTCACTGACAATCCTCAATATATTTAAATGTAATTACAATGGATAGTGCAAATCACTCTTGCAAAAGCCTTAGTAACCCTTAAACTTCATGCTGAAGGACTCAAAAAACAAAACACATCTTTCCAGAAACACTGTTTGAATGTCAGTGATGTTTCGCAAATAATGGGTGTAAATAGCCTCCCAAGTGTAAAATGTAATGACTGATTCGAATTCAAAGCATTGCAAACTACTCAAACTCTCTCTCTCTCTATGTATATATATATATATATATATATATATATATATATATATATATATATATATATATATATATATATATATATATATATATATGTTGATATTCATCACCGACTGACATCGGTTAGAGAAAAATTGGAAACTTGTGTGCAATGGACAACTGTTTCATGCTAATATAAGACCGCTCATCAGTACGAAATATTCAAGCAATCCTATGTTAAAACAAACTAAAGCTATATTAATATGTACTGGATAGTTTACTGAAATTCTATCAATCGAAAATGCCTTCGTTTATCTGCAAGATATTAACTTTTTATGTAGCAATTACCGAATAACTGATTACAGAAGAGTAACTTATTTTATTCCAGAGAGTTTAAGGGCTTTCCAAACTTGAAAATTTTTTCAATGTAACACATTTGCTATTCTTGTAAATCAACAAGAGGAGTTTACTATGTTCAGTACTGCTCTTGTTACTAATATTGACCTTGTCCACCGCATTTCACCATGCAATTTATATATATTGTATCCCTTAGTAATCGGGATCTATGATTGCATATGTCATTCATGCGTAAATGACCAAAAGCTATGGATCAAGTTAGTAGTCATGTTCCTATGTAAGTTATTAGCATCAGAGATAATTTTCATACCCAACTGGCCTTGACTACTAACATTATATGGGGTCACATATTTTAAAAGTTTAACATTGTATCAGATACAGACGGCCAGCGTAAATAAGAGCTTATTATAGGAGGGGGAGGGAGCTTCAAGTTATGCCGATTGACACTAGCTTATCAAGAGGATAATACTAACATCTGAAAAATCTCATAGTAAGGATAAAGAACATGAGAGTAGTGAAAGGGTGAGACAGCGAACAATAGGGATTTTTAAATTGCTTATAACTCGGAATATGATGCAGGCTGAACATAATTACTCTCACTTCAATCGATTTTGAAATATTCTTCTACACAGACCATGGTCTGTGTTAATAGTGCGCACTATAGGAAACTGTAAAGCACCAGAAAGTAAAGCAGTTTCATAAATCACAGTAAGTTACTTAATACTTGATATCATCTTTAAGTGGGTTCCCATCGTCCGTGTTATCCATGTATGATTTTGGTTACTGCCAGTACTAGTTTATATCTAATATGTCTGCAATTCTTGGTGAAAGAACTAATATCAAGTAGTTAACTACTAAAACTGTTGGGCTGCTATTCTACTGAACACACACTTATGCGTGATAGATAAGTAAATTTGTGTTAACGCTAAGCTTGAAAATAGCAGTGATTAGGGATTCGAATCGACGCTTCCTCCATTGTTGTCATGCAAACAAAACTGGCTTATGATATTCACAGAAGAAAAGTTAACTCCTAGAACGCAACTAGATCTAGGTACATCAGTAATGAACATTATTTCCAAGCAGTTATTCATCCTGAAAATATTTGTTTCTACTTCATACACTGATCTAATATATTTCAGAGAACTATGGTAACACAGATGATTTATGTCTATTGTCGCACAAAATCGAAGATCTACAGGCAAAATCCAACAAGTTGACACAAGAGGCAGGGTAGCGAAAACAGGACTTCAAGTGAATGTAGAGAAGATGGAGGCGATGAGGATACCCAACCAACAACACCATCAACAACAAGCACCAATCACCATCAACGGGAGAAACCCAAAGAAAGTTATCTCTCTCACCTACCCAGGTAAGGCAGGCTGCATCGTTCAACTACAGTTGACACAGACAACGATGTCAAAACCAGGATCGGAAAAGCAAGACAGGAGTTCATCAATCTGAAATCATTGTGGAGATCTACACCACTCAGCACAAAGCATGAACACGATCCGGATTTTCAACACCGATGTCAAATCAGTGCTGCTATGTGATGGTTCAGAAACTTGACACGTCACGAAAAGCATTTCCAACAAACTACAAACATTCATGAACAACTGCCACCTACACTGGCTCGACACTGAAGATCAGATGGATTGCCAGAATAATAAGAATAAGCAACAAGGAACTGTGGCTGGCTGGCTAGCTGGCTGGCTGGCTGTCAACGAACCAACCAAGCACCTGTCACCCAACAAATATGCAGGAAAAGATAGTGGAGATGGACCGGATTGGGCATACACTGAGAATTCTGATTGGGGACATCAGGCATCAGGCGAGGCGAGGCGGTCGAGTGGAATGCAAATGGGAAACGACGAGTTGGGCGTGGGGGTGGGGGGTGAGGGTGACATGGAGGAGCTGATGTGAGGAATAAATGAAAGCTTGTGGACAGTGGTGGAGCGAGGTTGGAAAGACTAGAGAGAAGAGAGTGGAATGCAGGCGTGCTACTGAAGCCTTATGTTCCACTAAGAACCCAAGGGAAAAATAATAATAATATAATGGTTGTGGTAATCACGTTAAATGAAATTACAAACGAGTGATTTGAGTAGTTAAATAAAACTTGGCTGGTAAATACTTTATTCTGTATTAAAAACTTTTTTCAATCTGCACCCTTTTTGTTTGTTCATAACTAGACGAAAGTTTTATAAATATTATTTCTAATATACTTTGGTGACTCTCTCTCTCTCTCTCTTAGAATTCAAATGGTCAGTCTCACTACTGCCCTAAAAATATTATTATTTTGTATACACATGTTGTTTAAACCACAAAATAATAAATTAGGTTGATAAATCCAATAGAATCATTCATAGATTAGGATTGTTTATATTAGCGTTTACATATATACATGCGTATAGACAAGCTATCAGTAGTTGCAATAGAGACTTGACATAAATTCACACACACATACTAAAGCTGACTATATTTAACCTTTATTTACTCGTAATTAATATTCCTTCAATAAGTTGTAATCTACTTTCATGATAATGCTGTTTAAAATGAAACTAATTACGATATGGATGATTGCAGTTTGCAGTGAGTTCAACTTTGCTCTGTTTCATCTATATTATTGTATTAATCTTGTCATGTCTCAACAAATAAACTACTCATTCTTTAAAGATGAATTTACTTCAGATGTGTAATTCCCTCAGGTCCTACTGTTCATATTCACTCATCTTTTCTTCCGACACTTAAAATTGATTGATTACCTGGACACTTCCTTCATATAAGTGAGGAATACCTATGAGATGATTTGTATTGAAATAATATGTATCAAAAGTAATATATTTTCTTGAACTTTTCTATTGACTATATTCCTTCGCATCGAGATTTGTAAATTCATTTTAGAATGTATCATACTCTTCTGGTGGCTCAGAATCAATCTCATTGGTATCAATGTATGCACACATTAACTTTATCCTAGCTGTTATACCACATTTTCTTAATTGCTTCAGCCTCTCATCTTATTCGCCTCTTCTTAGGACTTTCTAAAACTTGTGACTACTATTTGCCTACTTCTACCTCCTTCATCTTCGTGATGTACTGATATAGGGTGCGACGTCGTAGATCCTTATGCACTAGTGTTAGGTCATATATTGATATTGACTGCCTATCCTACACTTTTGTGATTACAACAACTATAGATGTTTCCAGTTCTATTCAAATAAACAGACTGGCTGAATTATAAACATGCACAGAAGCATATTATTTCAAATTACTTCATTTTACAACAGTGTAGAAGGAGTAAGTGTCTAGAAATAGGTTGAAATTTAAGTTAAAAAAGGTAATAATTTATTCATCCACTGATAGTTAGTAAAAGTGTTCCGTTCTTTGAAAGTGATTAGGATCACTGTGGTTGACTTACACCCAAGAGTCTTCAACAACTGATTTCTATCGTCTCAAGGACCCTTAAGTGGCAGATTATACATTCCTAGAATTTTCAGACTAACAATTTTCGACTTCATGAACTGGCATTATGTTTTGACCTGACTTCGCTGAGCTATCTTTCAATTTATCCACTTTACTGAATGAGTTAGATGGTAGTTCTAAGTCATCTAAATTTGTGGTATATTGTATTTATAATAACTCTTTAATTAATAATTAATTATGAATAAAATGCTCATCCTTTCATCCTCTATTTTGGTAGTCCTTTAAGATTGCATCGTTTTTTAGTAGTATTTTCATCGGTGTTATTCTGTAATATTTCAAGATCATTTTTATCAAATCGAAGTTGAATATTGTCATTTTTATCTCATTCCAATGAAATAATTTCTATTCCTGGTAGTTCAGAGACTTAGTTCATGTTACTCACATGTACCATAGAAACTAAAATTACATTTGCATAGGAAATGCATTGAACAGCTCTATAAGATATAGTAGATATAATTTACAAAATGTGTGATTTTAATAACCTTAGACTAATCTTTATGAATAAGAAGGAGATTTTCAGTAGTAAACCAGTTGACCGTCTGTTTCAAAGCTGTAGCTGATATTTCTTCCAACCTCATAGACAAGGCATTTTTTTTATTGAGATATGGCCTCGGTTTGAAAGATCAATGGCACTGATGCTGGGTGACGACTGGAGGTGAAATAAAACCCGGATCGCGTTAGAGTTAGAGCCAGTAGTTTCTAGGTTAGTAGTATATAGTTCTACCACCTGAGCGGCAAAACCCAACTGTGGACCAGGTTTTGAATTCAAAATTCACATATCAACGGTGATGGAAAGGAAGGTTGAAGGCAAATGTAAGTAATAACTTGCTTCGAACTAGTAAATGAAGTCAAATTGATACCTGGACAAGAGATGAAGTACAGGAATATAGCTGTTAGAAAGGAAAACCAAAGGGCAATTCCAAGGTCACTAGTCAAGACTATGAAAGTTAGTTTGTTTGAATGTTTTGTGTAGCATCGATTATCTTACTTCAGAACTACTAGATGAATTGTATTATGATAGTGTGAGAGTTAATTGTTTCCTTGGTCCACTGGATTTAGGTCATCGCTGTAAAGGGCCTAACGACATACAGTATATGAACACCCTCTTCACATACTTTGAGCTCGCAATAAGCAGTTGCTTTTATTCTAAAACAGTGAGATTCAAATGTGTTATTAGCAGTTATCACGGAGGCATAAAAGATAATATCAATTTCACAAAAAACCTTTTAGCGCTTTACATTTCACTCAAATGTACTTAAAAAATAGACCTACAGACATTTCATATCAGGCAAATTGAGTACACATGTATTATCCTTTGGTACTTACAATTTCCCACTGTAATTCCAGACCGAAATGACTGACTTTTGGCACATTCAGCTAACGAGTCTCAACTAGGATAAAATGCACGTCTTTCATTCCACTTTTAACCAATACTGAGCAAATTACATGGTAATGAATCTTCAAGCAATACCGAAACAACCACAGAGAAGCCCATACATCAAAAGATCTCAATCAGTTCGGTCCGGAATGACAGTGGGAAATTAAAGGTATCAGTGAGCAGTAACAATTCATACCCGTCACATATCAAGTGACTATCAGGCTTCAGTACCCTACTGGTCAATGTCGTGTCACTTGAAATGATGGCCTTCTGTCTCGAGTCTCGGTGGGAATACCATCACTCATGGAGTTTCAAGTGTGCCCAACTGATGAGCTTCAAAATGGACGGAAGGTACTTAATGGATTCCATTGCTAGCCGCCAGCAAGCCACTCTCACACCTGTTTATTCAATAAATTTCTAACGACCTTAACTTCAAGAGAAGTTTCTAGTTGGATCAAATGAATGACTATCCCATAGCACTTCAAAATAAAAATCACATTATATGAGACTATATTTTCCTAACAGAACATTCTCTACTTTTATTTAAAATTTTAGTTCCACTTCAAAGTTTTGGTGAAGTCAGTGATCCATTTTTGTTATCGGCGAATGTTGAAAGTGGATTGAATGATCAGATTTTAGCTGAATATGAAGCTTTTTATATCTACGAACACATGGTGAGTTCTAATGAAAGTCCATTAAAGGGTAAATTAGGTATTGGTTCTTCTTTTTATTTATTGATAGTTACGTTACACAAACATACTGTATTCTGAAGGTGTAATGTTACTGAAAAGAGATCATATTTGGTGTGTATCGCAAGAACCTCAGAATAAACTTATATGATACATTTCCATTTATATGCGTTTAATCATTGGGTCAAGTCCGAGGATGAAACGTCCACAAACGAAAGTCAAAGCTAAGAAAATATTAATACATTATTATCCTTATCCTGAGTTACAAATCTCTACTATTTTATGTTTCAATTTAGCATACCTATAAGAAACTACTACATGAAATGAACAAAAGTATCGCATGCATCGCATGTGCATGTGTGCTTGTATGTCGAGATCACAATGTGCATACGTTAATGTACCAAATATGCGAGTTGACAAATAAATCAAATTTTAAACTAGTTTCTGTTAGATAATGAATTATTCTTAGTCAGTTAAAGAATAGCTTGTTGGATAAACATATGAAGTGATAAATACAGGTTACACTGACAGATTCAGTAAACGTGGTGGAACTCACTGTATCAAGACCTGATTACAATGCTAACGGATGGGATATGAGGTTTTCTGAAGCGGAATACAAGATATGGACAAACAGATCAGCACAGATGAGCATCCGGACTTCTATGCTGGCACAACTATTTTCCTAAAGACACTCTATCATTCATACTACTGATAGCACGTCATATTTTTCCGATGTAAATCACTAAATACTCATGAGGGTTTGATAGAAATATTAACAAACTAAGGTTTTTCTTCAAATCTCTCGGCAAAATAGGCGTAAGAAGTTGATGGTAATTAGATTGTATGATGAACGTGTAAGGCTTTAAGGATTATAGCTAGGGAGCAGTAAAATAATCTAATAAAACATAGCAATAAGTGAACTCTAGTCTGTACTGTGATTCATTGATCAAGAAGTATGAACCACTGGCAGCCAAGAAACACTGTATGCCTCTGCTCAAGTATTCAACATAGTATTTAACTAATTAACAGTGTGTTACAAAAATAATTGAAGAATTCAGCGTAATATTTACTTATGGGATGTTCAGAAGACAGAAATATCTTATATCAGCTAAATATTTTGAAATTTTCTTACATAGCTCAGTGAAAAAAGTAACTGAACCTGTAAATGAAAGATAAGTGAAGCTTAGATACCAATGAACTGACATCTTTCACCTCATCGAAAATTATTCCAGCTTCAAAATGACTACTCATATGGTGAAATTTTTTTAATTATTTGGTATAAAACCTGGATAAATCTGAAAACATACCCTTACAGCATAGTTGGTAGTTAAAATAGTCTCCTGCTATACGACAACGTAAATGTCACATATTTTACCTTGGGCAATGATAAATTCTAGCCATAAAATTCATAATGTTGTCATCAAGTTACAAAACTTAACATAGCATTGTATTTGATGCTAGATGGTTGGAGACAGTTGACATTTGAATCCTTTGACATACCTGAAATTCTCATAGTAATTCCCTTCTCATGAAAATCAGGTACAATTATATTGATTCCTTTTTGAATTATCACTTCAAATCTCATCTGTTGGATAATTTAGTCAAGGTCATAGTAGCTGCATAACATTTATTCACTCTTTGTATTTCTCTTTTGGTTTCTTTATCGAAAAGTAGAATTTATAGATAAACTATGGAAATTCACTTAGTAATACCAAGACCATCTCAGATAACCGTGGTTTGGTACACTGATAACTGTGATAAGAAGCGATGATCAAAAGCGAAACGAAAACCTGTCTGACGTTATGATTCGATTTAATGGGGTTTGGTTCTCCAGCCGGAGTGAGCCACGATGCACAGCTGCTAATCATGTCTTAATTTCGCGTCAGTTTCCTGAGGTTTCTCTTGATGCATGGGCAATTAAATGTTACGCATATACATAAAAGCCTGGCAGAACGTTTAATGACTGAAGTGAATGAAATTAAGACTTGATCAACAGCTGGTTCTCATAATGCGTTCTTTCAGTGACCAATAATCTTCTGGTAGCTAGTTATAATCCTGACGTAACTCCCTTTTGCGTTTCAACCTCAATATTCGCTTCTTATTAACTTTCATTAAGATTATGCTAAAATTTAACTAAAATGACCATCTAAAATTCGACCCTTATTTTAAAGTAGCAGATGTGTGGTAGGGTTCCAGTAGTATGACCTTTCCCAATTAGATCCCTTCAGGTACTTGCTCATATTATTAGTATTATTAATACTAATATTTGTCCCTTGGGTTCCTAATGGAACAGATGGATTCAGTAGCACATATCCATTCCACTCTCTTCTCTGCAAGCATTCGAACCTGGCTCCACTAATGCTCACAACCTCTCATTTCTTCCTCGTACGATCTCCTCCATGTCACCCTCACCCTCCACCCCCCACGCCCAACTCGTCACTTCCCCTCCTGCTCCCATTCAACGGACTGGCCTGAAGCATGGTGTCCCCAATCAGCCTTCTCAGTGTATGCCCAATCCAGTCCATCTCCACTATCTTTTCCTGCATATTTGTTGGGTGACAGGTTCCTGGTTGGTTCGTTGACAGCCAGCCAGCCAGCCAGAATTTCTTGTTGCTTATTCTTATTATTCTGGCAATCCATCTGATCTTCAGTGTCGAGCCAGTGTAGGTGGCAGTTGTTCATGAATGTATGAAGTTTGTTGGAAATGCTTTTCGTGACGTGCCAAGTTTCTGAACCATCACATAGCAGCACTGACTTGACATTGGTGTTGAAAATACGGATCTCGTTCCACATGCTGAGTGCAGCACAAAACATCTCCACACTGGTTTCAGGCCAATGAACGCCTGTCTTGCTTTTCCGATTCTGACTTTGACATCCTCGTCTGTACCTGTGCCACCTATAGTTGAGACTGTGCTGCCTAAATAGGTGAAGGAGGCTACTTCCTTTAAGTTTCTCCCGTTGATGGTGATTGGAGTTTGTTCTTCTTCTTCTTCATTGTGTATCTTCATCTCCTCTGTCTTCTCTACATTCACTTGAAGTCCCGTCTTCCTTCGCTGCCCTGCCTCTTCTCCCAACTTGTTAGTTTCCGCCTGTACATCTTCAAGTTTGTGTGACATTAGACACAAGTCATCAGCGAAATCACAATTTTCTAGGATCGTTTCCCCAGTCCGGCGTATCCCCCTCCTCTCGCTCCCCACTGTTGCCTGCTGCATGATCCAGTCCAGTCGACTACAATCAGGAATATCATGGGTGATAGTAGGTGACAGCCTTGTTTCACTCCTTCCTGTCCTCACTTCAAAAGCATCACTGAACTTCCCATTGTGAATTACTTGGCATGTGGCGTCTTCATATACCTGTTGTTGAATGAGGCTGATAAAGGTTTGTGGTATTTCGTAGTATTGAAGCAGTTTCCAAATTACCTCTCTGTCGACACTGTCAAAGGCCTTCTCACAGTCGATGAAGTTGAGGTAGAGGGTTGACTGGACTACCATTCTATACTCTGTTCTATGATGATGCGCAGCACATCGTAGCGTTGCAATTTGATCAGCACATGATTTGTACTTCCTGAAGCCTGTCTGCCTGTTCGGGTCGTAGTTTTGAATCCAGTGCATCCTTTACTCTCTACAGGATGATGCAGCTTTATATTTTGCTTGGGTTGGACAGGAGCGTGATTCCGCACCAGTTCTTGCAAACACTCATGTCACCCTTCTTCCAATCGACAGACAGGTACCTTCCCTTCCTTCCACACCCTCTGCAATAGTGGTGTGGTGTGAGCATGTCCGCTGTCATCTGTTGGTCTGCTCTAAGTGCTTCTGGTGGGATCCCATCTGGTCCTGCGGCTTCACCACATTTCAGTAGCTTTATGGCACTCAGGACTTCACTTCCACTTTTGTTGGAGGATTTGTGTTCACTTGTAGTTCCGTGGCTGGACTGCAGGTGGTGTTTCCGGACGAGGTGCAGGTGATGATGGTGGTGGTCGATTCAAGAGCTTCGTGAAGTGGTTGGCCATCGTTTCCTTTGTCTCCCTTCTTTCGTAATTAAATTTCCATCATCATCTTTCATTGGTTTCATCTGTGTTGATCTCTTCCATCCCAGATAGTAGCCTGGTTATTTGATACAATATTGTCAGGTCTCTATCTGTCCTACCTGCAGCCTGTTCTGCTTCACTTACAAGTGTGTCGTAGGAGTGTCTCTTGTCCTTGCGCGCACTCGCATTCACTTCTTTGTCCAGTGTTGTATTTTATACATTGTACTCAGTTCCTCTTCTCGTTGAGCATCCTTGCACTGCACTGGTTTATCTTCTGCTTCACCATCACCATCCTCCTCTCCCTCCTCTATCAGCTTCCATGTGGAGATCCGTCAAGATCCATTCCTTATCTTCTTTCTTCTTCCTTCCTAATACGGTTGTGCAGGTTTCTCTCCACATCTCTTTCAAAGACTTCCAGTGTTCTTCAACACTGGTTTCTTCAGGGATGTTGCTCGATATCTCCCATTTTGTCTTGATGGCTGGCTGCCGTGAAGATCTCCTTTGTAGTTTCCTCCTTCACTTTGTGTTCTGGGTGTTCAGCTTGAACTGTGGTCCAGCGCCAGCTTCCTTGAAGGCTTTCACCTTGATTTGGAGGCTCCCTTGCACTAGATAGTGAGTGGTGTGAACCTACATCTGCTCCTCTTCTTCATCTGACCTTGTGTCAAGTAGGCTGACTGCATCTCCACTTTCTTGAGATTGAGATAAAGTCGATCTGATGTTTAGCGTGTCCTGGTGTCTGGTGAAATCCATGTCGCCCACTTTGTGGATATCCTTGTGCTTGAACACACTGCCTGACTCCAATCATCAAATCGTTGAATGCACCGAATTCTGTAAACAATTCTCCATTCTCGTTCATCACCTCACCTAGCGCTACTCGACCCATGGTTAGTTCTCTTCCTGTGTTGTCGGCTCGCAGTTTGACAATCGTGTCGCCTATTAGAATTTTAGTGTAGCCAAC